AACTACCAGAGATAAATGAAAATAAGAGAAAGGAGACAGACAATGATCACTCTGTCTGTGAACTTTATATGAACCTGCAGAAATGATGTGATGCCCTGACAGTCCAGGGCCCTCCTTCCACTAGATTTGCGGCAAGCTTTAGGTGTGCGATAAGTGCCTGTATGAATGTCTATGGGAATATTCATGTACATATATGTTGATGCTGTGAGCGGATCATGTCTTTATGGCCTCCTCTCTCTCTCTGTGTGTGTGTAGGTGTGTGTGTGTGTGTGTGTGTGTGTGTGTGTGTGTGTGAGAGAAGATGGCAATGGACCGAAATGGAGTTTGGCCTGTCTATAATTATGATCATCTATCTTTATGTCTTCTGAGCATACCCTAGCATATCACGTCATCTTTCTCTTTGCTCTCAGTGAAATTCAAAGCAAATTGAAAGTAGTAAAAATGCAGGTGATTGACGTAAATTATTATTGGATCAGATGGTGTAATGATAATCGAAATGATTTATTTATAATTGCGATTCTGACAAATATTACAACGATATAGTGTCCATAAGTAAGGGTTGTGTTACAGGCATGTGCCATAGGAAAGGGAGGAAAGGTTATCTATGGAAACTGATCCAAACCCTACTGAATCCCAATGTCAAGTGTTCTGAATGAGCTCCAACTGAGAGGCTGGTACATAAGTGATTTTGATTTGTAAATGAAATCAAAATCCCCCAAAAAACGGCATTGGGTAATTCTCCTAATTTGGAAACGGCTCTTTTCACATTTGCATAATCGAAATAAACAACAACGCATTTTTAAGAATTATTATTAAGAAGGGAAACCAATTGTAAATATTTGGTCTTGAAGCTTCTCAGTGTATACAAAGTGAATGCAAACTTTTGTAGAACATATCTCCCCAAATCCAAACCCATGTCAGCGTGGCAGCCAAACTCCGTCTCTCAAACGACAAATCCATTGTTATTGAGATGGTTCACTAATGCAATAAGAAGGCCAACTTAATTCAAACATTAAGCTCTGCAACCAAATTAAATTTTCCTAATTTGATTTGGTCAATATTTGTTTTCATCTACAACGATTGGTAGTGTGCATTTATAAGCTGGCACAGAAGCACAGAAAAATAACATCTCATATGCACACATGTAACCACTGGCTGAACAGGCAAACACACTTATATCCAAACTCTAAACGCTTTACGTTTCCCAATAAAAGCAAATCACACTCAACGAGATTAGAGGCAGCACCCATGAACACTCACATCCACACAGAGCAAATGGCTAATACAATTGGCTTTAGCAATGAAATGGAAGCATGGAGTTGCGACTGGAGTTACAACCCCAGCTGACAATAACAGTTACCATGTGGTGTGTCTTTGGCTAATAAAACTTCAGATAATGGGGCAAACCTTTAGGACCAGGATTAATTGGGTTGTAATTGTAGATTTAATGTTTCTGTTAATCAATCATACCAAATCCAACTTCAAATATAGGCTGTCGTCATCTAGAACACAAAACAGCTTACAGACCTCTTTGAGGAATATGCAAAACCATAAATAACACTTGTTGACGATATATAACTTTTTGCCAAGTGCCTGAAATTCTCTGATATATTTAATCTTAACTTATCTAAATAATTCTGGTGAAAAAAGTAAAAATTGTAAAAGGTTCCTTCCTCAACTGTCCCGGTGATGGCCTGCTTTTGGGGTTCGATACCTGCTTCTTCTGATAGATATGCTTTGTTCTTCTCTTTCGCTTAAATGTCGCCGCGTTTGGTATTTACATTCCTCAATTATGGATGTTATAGAGCTTAATGTGTAGTATTTTTCTCAGGAAGAAGACTTGCCTCTCAACAGATTTAACTTGTAACTCATCTGATTGAATGTCAGATGCTTGTGTCCATGTAGAAGTTTTATATACTATTTCTTATGTAATACGTTTTTTAAATTCCGTAACACTTTGAGGTAATAAAATATTTAAAAAATGTATGATTATCATTATCATAATTAATGTATACAGTTCAACGGAAAACTACATTTAGATGAAGCCGAGCACAATTATAATGTGAAATATTAGCTATCACAAGTTATACAATTCTCTATCTCTCTCTTTTTCCCTTCTTTCAGGTTATGGCTTTGTGCAACGTTATACAGGCAACAGCTGAGACCAGAAACCTCCACATACTGGACTTGGAGAAACCTGAAAACTCTATATCTGATCAGCACCACACAGACCTCGTCCTCCATATCTACGCTAAGACCAATTAAATGAAGAGAGTGACAGGAAGTCCCCACGCTGCCTCCCCCATTTTTACAGCTCAATCATTCTGCATTACGGCGGACAATTTGACTGCTTATCCCAAGTGTCAAAATTGAAAGGGAAAAGAAATATAAAAAGCGAGAAAGATTGAGAGTGAGGCCAGATAGGAAGAGTAGAAGAATAGCGGAGAAGAGTGGTGGGCACCCCAGAGCAATTTCTTTCTTGAATAAAATCATAGGGGGGAGGAGGTTGTAAAGAAACACTAATGGCAAGCCCCCCCGGTTCTAGTAAAATAGACTGTTTTATAGGTTTAGCTTCTTATTCCTTCATTCATTTGTGCGGGCCGTGCTCCTTCGTCAAGTCAAGTGCTCATCTGTCTGTCTCTTTCCTTTATGTCCGTGAGTCCAGATAAGAGCTGCTAGTAAGACCAGTGGTCATTTAGTTATTATAGAGTATAGTGAGTAACAATGAGGGAAAGAAAAGAATATTCTACAGAAAGATGAATGACTTTTGAAAAGAGTATTTTCTTTCCTAATTTACGGTTTTAAACATTTGCTTAGGAAAAAACTGCCATCTGTCCATAACAATACAATACAGACTTACTGCACTTAAGTGTCTTAATCAAATGATTCAAAAAAGTTAACAAATAATACCATTTATAAAGCCACCATATAACTTCTATCAAAAACAACATATGAGACGATTTATTTATATACTAGCAGTGATGCTAGTTAGATATCTTTCCAATCATGTGTTCCCCCTCTTTTGTGGGACAACATACAGTGCGTCAAAGCTCATTTTGTGATCCTAATGACATATCAAATGTTTGCATATAGGCCAAATCAGTATGGAAATAAGTGCGTGCACACACAAATCCACCCAGTGCCTTAGAATAAAAGAGCCAATCACACAGATATGCGTCTGTTGTCACATATCTCTAAGGTTGGCCGACTGTGTGTGTCAGACATGAGTCCCATTGAACACACACACGCAGCAGCAGCAGCAGCCTTGTTATCCAGGGGCCTGTCTCAGAGGCAGCCTCTCTAACGCTGAGTGATGTTTAAATTAGTTTACAATTTAGCCTCCTCGCTATCCGCAGACGGCTCTTAACTCAGTGTGTGCATGTGCTGTGCTTTGTCAATGTGTTTGTGCGTGTGGGAGTGTAACAAATTGTTGCCAGTACGGCAGACATCTAATGACTTCAAATTAGCTGCCTGGTGCTCGCCTTGACATGTTGTTACCACTGTTAGCGGCGGCGTGTGCGCTCTGCTGTGTGTGCGTCAGCGCTCTCTGCGCAGCCATATCATGAAGCATAAATTGGCTTCACCTCATCAGTCTTTGCATCCACCTCCATTATTGGAATTTGAATAAAACAAAGACTTGGCCACCAAATGACACAAATGTGGGATTTGACCTGAGTGGGATTGGATATGTCCCTTTCTGAGTTTTTTTTAAATATAACATTTGTGTTATTGGCGCTCATGTTGAAGAGGTCTGTTTTACTTTGAAAACCCACAGTCCACTGAGAAAAGAGTAAATCATTTTGTGTGTGGACATGAGTGCATTAGCTCAGTGGTCAAACAGTGAGGATTTCACATCACACACACAGAGCCAGAAGATGAAGAGTTCTATCTTCCTGTGTGAACAGTGGATTGCCTCGCTCGTTCATCTAATCATGCTATCTGCTCTTCTCTGCCAAGCAATCGTCGCGCTTCAGTCCCTTCAACACAAAGTTGCACACATACAGTTTTTTACAAAACCTGACTAGTCACAAATGAAATAAAAGTATAATTGCATTCATGTTCATAAATAAAAGTATATTTAGAATCAGTAAAAGTACAATTTTATAAATGTAGTGTCAAATAGCATCAGTGACCTGCTTGTGTATTGTCTCACGTGAATACATGTATGGATTTATTATAAATTGAAAGGTAAAAAGTATAAAACAAAGCAGTGTATTTGTGTAGTAAAACAATAGATATTAAAAGATGGAGCTATACTTAGAGAATAGATCAATATACACGTCTCCTTACTCCATATAGCAGCCTGCTACAGATCAATACAGTAACAATAAGTGATGCATATTCTTATCCTTTTTGCACTTCTCTCTTCAATGTAATTTTCACATTGATATTACACATTAGAAGCAGATCTGTTTTCCAAACGTATTGACCACACTATTCTATTTATACTTCAGGATGTGGTAATATTTATGTGCGAAAATAACCATAATATTGTATGTATTAACAGTCTAAAGAGTTCAAAGACTGAATGTGATGAACCTTACAATTGCAAATATAAAACTTCACTCGTCTCCGCTAAGCCATCACAGCAGGCTCCGTCAGTAAAACCAAAACTAGATTACATTTCATCTGGTTCTCTTATGCGGTCTGATCCTGCTCTCATAGTTCCACAGAATAATGAGAGTCAAAATCTGAAAAATGTGTTTGTATTGGACTGAATAGTCCATGATACTGTGAAGGTATGGACTGTGTCGGCATATGGTCGAGTGGCGACAGTTACTCACTTGAAATGGTCAAGAGCTAAGCCTGTCTGAGGGCACAGATTAAGGTGAAGGGTCACACTGAAATGACCTATTGTTCAGTATTATATACTGCATTGTGGACAAGCTTTCTAGCATCGCACTGTATGCAAAATGCAGTTTCAGTCTGTGAGCAGCAGGCCAGGCTTTACATGCACTCTGGTGGTATACATGAGAGAGTAGGGTGAGGGGTTGTCCTACCTGGGATGTGTTTGGCCCACCCGATATTGACCACTAGTTCTCGGTCAGCCAGGTCGCACAGCGTCGTCAGGGCCTTGATGTCGCTGTCTGGTACTGTGGGGTCGGGCATGGCATAAATCTTCTCTGGCTCAGCCACCAGCAGATGAGAGACAATTTTGTTATCTGCAAGGCAGCCAAAGGCAACTGACATGACCACCAGACAAGAGAAAGACAGAAACAGAAAGATGGTGAATTTAGGCTATTGTTGGCAGACACATTTTCCACACCAAAAAGGTGTAACAAATATATATTTCACATTAAAACAATAAACAAAACACGTCACACACATTTCATTTTAAAGAAAAGCATTTGATTTTCACATAACAATAAAGAATAACATTTGGGACATTGAGGGGGAAGGATAATACTTAAAGCCAAACAGCTCAGCTGGTAATGGTGACATGTGGTGATGAGATCTCTATGGCCCATTAGTAACAGACTGATACTCTGCTTCCAAATTAATCCACTGACTAATCAAGCGTGGAAGTCAAAACAGGGAAGAGAAGTAGAGGTGTAGGTCCAAGCAGAGAAAGTGAAAAAATAAGGTTTGACAGGAAATACAGCAGCAAACGCAGAGGGTAAAAGACAGACAGCGGTGGAGAAAACGACAGGCAGGTGGAGATAAACACAGGCAGGAGGGGGGCTGTATTGATCTAACACTATCCAGCTCCATTGGCTCTCACACAAATACACTCTTGGAAATATATATCTTTATAAATATCCTGTGCATTCCCTTCCCTGCTGCTGCAGCTCCAGGGTCGTTTGAGCACAACCAATCCCAGTCACACAGCAGTATCTGTGGGTAAATCTTATTTAATGTTTCCCTAATTAGAATCAATGGAAGCCCATTTCCAAACCCTAGGCTATTGTTTGGTTCTCACACAATCAATGAGGACACTGAGGCTGGGGATTGTGCTACAGACAGATAGGCACTGTGTGTATGCGAGAAGTAGACGCTCAGACAGACAGAATTTCGGTCACTATTGACTATATGTAAAAAGAAAATAACAAAAAAGCATCCTCACATTAACCTACCAAGGTTTGAAGTTGGATTAAAAATCTTTATGTATATATGTGTAGCACAAATAAAACAAGAAAGTATATATGAAGATGTGAAGAAGATGAAGATAAATGAAAGGGAAAAGTGTAACTTCTGAATGCATGTGTAGTGAGAATGGGCCCACAGAAGATGTGTACACAAACACATGCTTATTGAGTCACATTATCTCATCATTTTCATGATTAGTAGCACACAAAACCCAGTAAGCTGTTGTGCAGCCGTTCAGCATATTGGCCTAAAGCAGAATATGCTCCAGCTTTAAGTAAAATGGGCTTTGGGGAGCAAGCCGCTGAACACTGCTCAATCTGCCTCTGAATGTGCATGTTGTGTCTGAGCAGACGGGTAGCTAGAGAGCTAACCCTAGTTTGATGTGGTTGCCAGATTGGATTTAATCCGGATTAGTTTTCTGGCTGGTAGCCCCCTCCAGTATCCTGCTCTTCCCATTCTCTCTGATTTAGGTAACTTAGATAACTTTCTTTCCTTTTTTACTTATGACTTTATATTGTCTAGATTGACAAATGCTGAGAGAAAGCAATAAAATACAAAACAGTTTTTATGATAAATCAAATTGTCACAGTACAGACAGGGAGAAAAGCAGCAGAAACAAAAGTAACATGTGGCCTTTAGAGCTGTATAGTTAGTAGTAGACAAATGCTACTGTACTTCCATTCACATCCAATTAAATAAAATGCCATTTGATCCTTACATGGTTTCTTGGCTGGCAGAGCAAGCTGAGGATTGAGATATGGACTGTTGTCGGCATCTATCCGACGTTTATACTTCTGTCTTCCCCCACGAACCCTGTCCAAACGAACACCTGCAACAGATACACAAAGGGCATTAATAAAGCAATGAAAAAAGGGACTTTTTAAATAAAAAAGGATATTCAGGAGGGTTTTGTTCTGGTTCTTGTGGTTTATAAGTTACAATCTGTGACAGTGCAAAAAACTTAAATTAACCTGGGACACTCTGGGTTTTCAGGTCCAATGATGAAAAGAATGTTCTTGGGTTCCATTGCAAATTACTTACTTTTGGTCTCTCCCAATCTCTGTGGGTCGCTGTCTTTCTGTCTACTTAATTAATTGATACAAAAGAGTCCTAATTTAATTAGTCCAATGTCTCGAGGGATTGGTTGTTACCGTGGTTACCACTTAAAAGATGGATCAGTAAGACAGAGGTGTCTTGCATCCTCAGGGAGAATAAGAGGAGAGGGCAATAGTCTTCTACGCTGATCCTGTTAAAGTCACTTATTCAGGAAGCTAGTGAGGCAAACAGCAACATGTATCTATTTAAAATGGCCTCTAAAATGAGGCTTTAACTATGTATCCAACTTCCTTTCATAATATTGCCATCTGCACAGTGTAGCTCCTCTCTGCTGGTATAACCCTTGAATCCAATGTGTATGAAATACATACATTAATTATGATCCTATTTTCAGTCAAAATAATGCCATATAAGTTTGAGTAGTGTTTGATATCCATGCCTTTTATAAAGTGACCTTGCCGATTGCTCATGAACCTATCTCTAGAGGTCTATTACAAAATAATATGCATTCTATTTTATTTATCTGAGCTTACACCATTTGGACTTCCATTACTACAGTGTCCACCTTCAGTCCTCAGACCACAGCTCTTCGTCAGCTGCAGTGAAAGGTTGAGAGGGATTTGCTCACACAGACAGATTTAAATCCTGCAAAAATATTGCTGACCACATTAGAGACAACACACCTGGGAGATTAACAGGAGACTCTAAGCTGCAAAGGGAAATGTTCACACAATAAACAACAGAGAAAGTTTGTTGAAAATCTAATAATTTGGTTTAAATGAAAGTAAATTGATATGTATGTTCACAGTGCACGTGTGTGTGTAGGTGTGTGTGTGAAAAGAGAAGGTAGACAGAAGGGCCGACAGTCCAGGTGCAGTGGGGGGGCTCGTGTCAGCAAACGGTCAAGAATCTCTTCACGACAGGGGGCAACCAACCCTCTCACACACATGCTCACACAGGCAAGAACTCCACAAGCTTTTTTACAGAAAACACATTGCAGTGTGGCACTGTTTGGGTAAGCCTTGACAAGAGGCTTGTGCAATCACAACATGGGTCAGTGGTGGGGCAAAAGCAGGTAAATATAGTGAAGCTCACATGCTCTGTTTAAGACTGAGAGTTTCAAATCGGAAAGGGCTTTTCTTTACTTGACTTCTAAATATCACAACAAATATATTTAGTTTTAGTTTTTTATTTTGATTATTTCGACCAGATTTATTTATCTGTGTATCAATACACTATTCTCATAAATTATAGATTGGGTGTTATTTTTTTTCTATTAAGGAAAACACATTGAAACACACACTGACTCTGATTCATCAAGCATTCGTACGCACAAAACAGCCATATTATGCAAAAGCCATACACACTCTTTCAGTAAGAGTTTCCTGCCTTGTTTAGTAAATAAGACCCAATATTTGATGGGATGAATTGTTTTTTTCTTCTGTAAATAAATAATGAAATAAAATACCCATTTCAATGGAGACGATTATTCTGCTAAAACACGATGAGGCAAGTGGATACTCCTCTTTCTGGGTCTTCTTTTCACTCCCATTCCTACACACCTTAAAGAGACAGCCGCTTTGCAGCCAGACTCACTTCATAAAAAGGCCTCTCTAACTACCTCATCTATTTTCCACCAAATTAACTCTCTCTCAGCACTGATTAATGATCAAATCTAAATGAATCAAATTAAAAATTGAAAATTATATTTCCAAAGCTCACAAAAAAGAGACAAGAGGAGGTTAGGGGAGAGAGCATGTGCGCTGTAACTCCCTTTAACAAATGAGCCTTCAAATAATAAAGAATGGTCGAGAGAAGAGAGGGATGAGGAGAGTACACTTGGATAATAGAGAGGAAAAAAGCTGACAGTCAATGGAAGAGGGGGATAATAATGATAAAAAAACACACACACCAAATTAAAACTGCAGAATTATTCATGAGGTGATAGAAATGGAGAACAAATAATCTAGGTACAAATGGCTTAATAAACAAGCAGGAAGGAAAGAAGATTAAAGTAATGCAGTTGTTTCCCGAAATATGAGGGCTTTGTGTGACAATGATGGAGGTGAAAGGTTTAGTGTATCATGGGAATTCTGTTGCCTGTCAATACGGCCATCTGCACTGATCACATCGGCATAGATTTTACACTGCATTGGCGTAACCATGTGTAAGTGCGTTTGAGCTATTGAGGGATTGCCAGTGAAATGTCTTTGACACCTATGTGCTTTGAACGGGACAAGGCGATGAACAACAAATGAAGGGAGCCAGGTAGATATAGAGCGATGGGACACAAAGAGGAAAAGGGGAAAAAATTGCAGAAGAGGAAAGGCAACAACTTGATTGATTTCAGATGGCCGATAGATGATATGATATAAACAACGGATTGAGGGAGGCCAGACAGCAACAAGGAATAGAGTAGAGACAAGCAAAAATAAATGGATGGATCACACGTGAAATGAATGGCAGAAGAGATAGATTTCATCAGCAAAAACCTAAATTTATTATATCAGTTTGAAACAGTACATCTCAAGAAAAAAAATCTATGTGTACAGTATAAGATAAAGACTAGAACAGTATGGAGTGGAGATGAAAAAGTGTGTAGCGTCAGACAGTAGTGTTTGTTTAGATCAGAGCTCTGCCCCAGGCCGCGAGCAGGTGGCATCACTGCTGTGTGAATGTGTGTGTGAAGAAACAAGCTTCACACACACATCGAGCTTTTTCAGCACTACAGTATATGATCCTACCATGTTCAATCATCTTCACCTAAGACACACATTGTATATTAATACATTAGATAAATGAGTAAATAGGCTCTATACTTTTAAAGCAAAACATTTGTTACAACTAGTTGTTCATTATCACAGAAGCAATGCCCCATTCCTAATTACAATTTCTTAGGGGGTGCACTAGTTCTTCAAACCGGTTTGTGGATGGCCAAAGGTCACAGCGCAGGGCTTCCACCCGCTCTCACTCATGAGGTGTCGGAGGCCATGGGGACCGAGGCCAGAGCTGGCTCTGGCTCCAGCTGCGTTCGTGCTGGAGCGCATGTGTGGGGCACTACGCCAGGGTTTATATTTGCACATTGTAGCCGCGTTGTCGTGGGGCATCTGATTCCAGCTGGTCTTTTACACATTATAGAGATGGGCGCTTTGCTTTTGGAGCTTCCCATTCTGTCCGTTTAACTACAATTCATGAAATGTGCCATCATCAAAGCTGCAATGTGTGGAAGCAAATCTTGTCAATATGAGCATATGTACAATGCACAAGCACTGAACACAGTTGGCTTGTGGAGACGGCAGTTTTGCCAAAGCATTTCATGTATAAATTCCAGCTTTGAGGAATGAGCCCTGTTTATTAGTAATTCACACATTACTATTGATGTATTACCTCAGAAATTGTATGCCATACCAGAAAAACACTGTGAGTATATTCTCGCCCCACCCACCTGACCTTTCACTCTTCAGCTGACGCATCATTATGACCTCATTAAAAATGGACAGGCAGCTATAGCCAGAGGGTAAGTTCTCATAATACAGTCAGGCTTTTAATTGCCTACCTCCAGAAATTAACTGCTACATATTGGTGGGTGGGTTTCCCCTGTTCGCTCCCTCTTTTAGCGTGCCACCTGCTTGTATGCTGTGTTTTTCGCTGGCGCTTCAGACTGTGTGTATGTGGTTAGCGGCACTTGTAAAGGAACTGTTGGTTTACTGGATTACTGACCCTCTGGCCTCTTGTTCTCTCCGCTCTCCATCACACACATGAACTTACTCTTCATTTCAGCCTCCTTGTCTCCCTGGGCGACAAAGCTAATTTGAGGCAGATCTTGCCCTAAGGGGTAAACCACAGTGTCCACACACACGCTTTGTGTAATACACCACATTTCACCCCACTCCACCGTTTCCATTTTATCTTCACCTTTCTCCTGTGAGCTACCCCCTGACACCAACAGTTAATGCTGATCCTAACTGATCTAGCCACTTACCATTATCATCTTCTGCTGCTATGATGGTCGCACCCCAAAGCTACATAATAATCTGCAGCTAAATGAGTACAGTGAATGCACCTGTGAAACGAGTAGAATGTAATCCTCTCCAAATATTACAAATTGAAAAGATTTTGTTATTAATTTATTGCCCCATACTCTGTTGTATAGAAAGCTGAAATTCATGTTGTAAAGCTTGGATAATTCTGTTACTTTGTGTGCTTTACTGTATTAACTGGAAAAATGTATCACACATTTATTCTTTCTTTCTGCTATATTATATTCATACCATTTTGTATAGATTTTGTTTCAGTAGTCATTGATCTCAGCTAAATCTCAGTCCAAATTAATCTCTTGTTCAATGTAATTCCCTATTGAACAAGAAAAGAATGATATCTAAAGCTGGGGTACCTAGCTGTAAAACAAAAATGAAAATATGTCATGAAATATAACAACATATCCATCTAACTACTTCCTCGCTCTTGCTCTCTTAATAGTTTTGCATCCTTGCATGCTGCTCGATCTCTTCTTTGGTCCAGCTTTTTCAGGTAGAAAAATGAAAAAGAGAGCACCCTCCTCACTCAGCTAATTGTCCCTCAGCCCAAAGCGTCAGATAGTAACTCAGTATGAGAAACGTAAAGTGTTTTCTAATAAGATAAAGACAGCATGTTGTGGTCTGATTTTTGCTGTTACTTTCAGAAAACTTCTGTCAGGGCCAACAGCTTTAGGTATATACAAACCAAGCCAATTGAAGCAGTGATATAGAAACAGCTGAAAAGAGTGAGCCATCAGTGAGTGGGAGAAGTTGATAACAGGTATACAGTAGATGGAGGGGGCTGGCTAGTCTCGGCGCAGCCTGACCACGGTGAGGAAGGGGGCGGAGGCCAGGTCCCCCATCAATTACAACCTTGACCCTCCTCCTATGCCTGCCTCACGCCGCTCACATACTTTCTGGCTCATTCACCCCTCCTCCTCCCCTGGTCCCTCTCCCTTGCTCCTATAAATCAATCTGTTCTCCCTTCATGCCTCCTGCCCTCCCCCCGACAACTTTCTTACCACTGCTACCCCTATTTCTCGATCAGCCACTGGCCTCCTCCTTAGCCCCATCTCACGCATCCTTTCATCGTTGCGAGCACAGAGGGACTGGTGAGGTCGGAGGTGGCCAGATACGAAGGAAAGGGAGAAGTACGTTGACAAAGCAAAATAATATTACAGGGTACGTTAAAACCAATTTCATCTCGTAACTTTGTTTTAGCTCTCAAACTTTATGACAGTAATCAGAAATATAATGGCTTTTATATGTATTGTATAAACATAATTTTGGCAAATGTAATATAGAAAGATCACGCACCATACTTTTTTAGCCCGTAAGAAACCAAAACATAATGATGACTCGCGTGCAGAAGGACTAATGACTGAGAAACCTTTAAGTGTCCAAATACATTAATTTCCAATATAAGCTAAATGCATCCCGCCTGTGACTCAGTAGTTTACATGGTTAGAAATACGCGTCTTGCTCAACCAAAGTAAATTGTACTAGATGAAAGATCAGATTTTCAGAAGTGATTCATAAACGTACTCAATATTAATACAAAAATAGTTATAATGTGGGTGTGTATGGTCAGTGATGCACGTTATACATAAACTGTGGCAGTAGAAGAAGAAGAAGAGACCTTTTCCCCTACCCTCTCTCAGCATGCCCACAGTCAGACACTTCATGAAGCGGCAGGCCTGACATGACTTGCGTCTCCTCTTTGTGATCTCACACTCGTTGGTGGCCGGACAGCTGTATTCGATGTTACCTGTGAATTGGACAGAAAACAGTTTTGATACACAATCACAACACCCTGAAGAAGAGGATGAAATAATTACACACAAAAACCTCCCATCTTATTGTTTAATACCCCAGTGTGCTTTGGCCTTAAAGTGCCTACAACTTTCACTTTACTTTCCACAAAACAGTCAAGATGAATATTTAAGAATGTGCTAAATATTTACCAAATTTAATTCCAGTTTGGCCAAAATTCTTCCAATGTACAGAGAAAAACTATAATATGTTGACACGACAAATCAAAGAATATATTTTGAAAGAATCATTTAAGTGACAAAACAAAATGTTCGAGGAAAATGATAGGATAGAACACTAGATTTTACTTTTTCAAATTTCAAATATTTACCCACATTTTCTTCACAAACTATGGATTTCACAGTGTAGAACTATTACGTATATTAGAATAGCTGTCATATACTGATTTAATGATTTAATGATTAGACTCACAGAGCTTGCCTGGCCTTAGCCATCCGTACACTCCGCTCAATCATCATTTCACTGCATGTAACATCTGGGTCTGGTCCCTGGGTTAGCGATTACAATCGGTTGAATTTCGACCGACCTACCAGCGAGCGCGGGAGGCAGGTGTTGTAGTTAGTTGTGGGTGACGTCAAGAGTTTGCGTCGAACGGGAAGGTCATAGTTTGGCAATGGCGGAAAATGCGATAGTAAAGTCATCCGGTCAAGTTCTATCAAGAAATTGAAGCCGGAGCAAGAGGAATGTTTAGCAAATGTAATCGCTAGAACAAATTGTGGCGCTACTCCCCACGGGCTCCGTTAGTGGCAAAGGAGATGGCTAGGCTAAATGCTAAATGCTAACAACAGACTCGGGCGCACTACATACGTCACGGTAAACTCAGATTCAATTGTTTCAATCTGCAAAAGGAGTCAACCCCTCCTATCTGTAAACGGAGCTCAATGGAGCGCCTCCAGACCTTAGTACAAAATGTAATTTGTACTATGGTGTGGTGACCAGGCTAACAACAGAGCCAGTGAAGCTAAATTCATTAGCTCCAGCAACACTCTTAACAATGAACCTGGAGAAGTTACGAGTAAAGTTATAAGTGAGCCTAATACCTCATACCTCAGTCAATGGGCATTTACTATCTACAAAATGTTCCCTCTTTTCACCTTTCCCTGTAAACTCTTTTACACTTTTTCAGTAGTAGTAGGCAGTAGAGACAGATCACTGAATCTACAAGCATGCAGAGTTTTCTTTGGTTTCTGCACTACAGTACTGCAGTCGGCCCATGCATCTCCTTTGGAAACTAAGTAAACAGTGATTACTATTGACTGCTACTCTGCGAAGGATGTTTCTCATTACAGGCCTGATTAAGAAGGCTGGTTAGCCCAGAAAAAGGCTAAATGTGCAAGTGTCTTCTAATGGCTAACAAGATGCCCGTTAATTGGCCTTGTTAGTTAAAATAAGGGCTAAACATGCTAAATGAGAGTCCTGGAGTCTGTAAATGAACTCGCTGGGATTTCTTTTGCTTGCTCCATTCTCAACACAGTGATGATACATGTGGAGCAGTTTAATCCAATTAGACGTACTGTTAGAGTTAAGATTTATATGGGTTAGTGCCAACAGATGCTCACTAATGGACCACGTCCACATGAATGCAAAAATCATTTAACAACACTTGGGGCATGTAGCTATAAAAAAGGATATTATATGCCCCATGATGTATCCTGAGACAAGTTGTATTTCTGTACTGTGTCTGTTGTGAGGCAGAAAGTTAAAGGAGGGCCTCAAAATCCCCGGCAATCTTCTTTGAGATGTGTGAGTATGTCCACCTGCTGCATGACAATTGACCACTTACTCAGACCCTGTATGAATGATTCCATTTGTAAGCGTTTTCTCTCTTCTATTGTTTTGGACAGGGCACATGTATTGTTTACAGAATGCCCTCTTCCCCATTCCCTGAAGAGCTGCGCCCCTAAAATGTTTAAACATGATTAGTTTGTCTTATGATTTCTGACTCGTTCTGATACATTATCTTGTTCTTTCTTCCAATATCCCTCCTCCCCTCTCCCTTTATCCTACTTTCTCAATAAGGGGGTGATAGATGCAGCTTGTCAGGTGCCTCTGGACTGACGCCACGGAAACAGCAGCTGCCACAGCCACTTCCCCCCTGCTGTGACATAAACACACAAACCACACATTTCTCCTAAAGTCTGTGCGCCTGATACCTGGACCCTCCTCCTTGCTCTCTTGCACATTCCTTTCCTTTCCTTTCTGTCCGATCGTCTACCCCAACCCCCACTCGCCCCGTGCTGTCCTCCCTGTCCAGCTGGAGGTGTTTTTTTGGCGATTACCTGCAGTTTTATTGGCTAATGGCTTGAAACACACCAATATGCCTGCCACTGCCCATCTGAGCCTGGCACATGTGCAGCACAGCTCTTTGCCATACACAAACACAAGCATATGTACACGGCATACACATAAAAACTGCACATATTTAAATGAACGAGCGCTGGGCCACAGAGGCAAGCACACCACCAAAAAGTCGGCAGATATAAGTTTGGCGGGGGCTAGAGCCAGCGATAATGTCATGACCCATTTGTTGCAAGGTAATTCAACTCGCTGTCAATCCAAGCCAATGTTGGTGAATTTAAACTACATCAGGTTAAAATATTAACATCACAAATGTTGTTTTAAAGAAATTAGATGAATCTGTTTATGGCATGCTGTCCTTTGCATGTATCAAAATGTCTGTATAATGCATCTGTGATTTACCCATTCCATACATATGAAGACGTGGTTGCGTGCCAGCTTCGCCCCAACCCCCTAACACTTTCTGATCTCCCACATGTCCACTATAGGATTACAAATTGAGAGAAAATGAGACAACACAACAAAGGGTGCACCACACTGCTTTAAACCTACCCAAGGTCATACACCAAACCTCCTCTATAGGCTAGTGTCATCACACATCCTCAAATCTATGTGTTTGCCGTGATCTTATATTTAATCTCCGTCATGCCCTCACCTATATGACCTTTAACAAGCTCTTTAAATGAAATGAGACAGGTGGAATTGGTCAACTATTAGATACAAGCAGCAATGGGCAAGGAATTAGGGGTTAAACCTACATATGGAGTGATTACAAGGTCACGATCTATTCATGTGCTGTGTGTCTGTGACTGAGACACCAGCGGTCTGTCCCGGGCTTCAAATCTCCTGGTGAGGGATTGCCATGTGTTCTGATCTGCTTCCATAATAAACATAGACAGGTCATGGCGGTGTGACGTGGTGGTGGTTTCTGAATGTTACAATTTCTACTCGTCCTGTCTGGTTCTCTCAGGGGCTTTACTGGGGAAAGCTTCTTATCGGGACAGAAAGAAAGGGACATATAGATAGGTCTGATATGACTCACAGACAGCCGGACTCAAGGGATCAATGTTGCTAGAAGATTGGTTAACTGGCTTACTTGGTTGTAGTAGTTAGGATTGATTGAAGTGAAGTAACACACCTCCTTGTTAAGATATTTACTGAATGGTAAACTCTCAATTCATTCTGTATATTCTTCTGGCTATGATTGCAGCCAATCATTTACAACAAAGATCCTTGAAATACAGTTCAATCAACGGTGGTCACTGATATTGACTTACCAAGAAAGAGTTTTAATTTTGAATATATCCAATGCAGACTCATGCAGAGGTGACAAAATACAAATTTTACCATAGCATTATTGAACCTATTCCCAAACTAAAGTAACAACTTTGGTCTGTTAACCAAGTAAAATGCCTTTTTATTGAATAAATGACAGACACTATTGGTATGTAAGTCAAATAATATAAGGTAATTAATGAAATGTAATAATTAATCAAGTAAAAGTAAATCAAGTAGTAAAATTAGGGAATTCATACTGGGAAAAGTACACTACTTAGATACTTACTTACTTACCACCACTTACCACAATTATGAAGAATCTAAGTAAAAATTTATTTAACTTACTCCACTCTCTATAATAGTTATTTGATTAATAATTGTCACTAATATATGAGTGTACAACCCAAACCCTTTCCTCGCTCAAACAAGGGACAGGCAGAAGATTACCGGGCCTAATACCTGCTACTCTTCTCATCATGGATTAGCGTTATATCCTAACTCTCCTTTGCCCCCTGACCTGAACTTATGACCCTGAGACACGACCTGTAACCTACCTTCTACTTTACCTTATCACCTGGACAACAGGCTTATGGTAAACAGCCTCATTTGGGGAAAAATCTGCGAATGCAAACACGATGCAGAAATTACCCTGTGCTGTTGATGAAGGGTCATGGGCGAGGGTTGGTGGGTCTAATCTAATCTGGGATAATTATGTGCATACATATAGGTAAAGGGAATGGTACGACGAGAGGGCAGTAAAAATAGATCAGGAAGCAGAAATGTGCTCTATAAAAATGTGGGTTCACATCAGGCCTCAGGCTTCCATCATATGTCCTGGATCTCACCTTGGCTTGTGTCTTGTGACTGGCTGTTAAAAATAAAACAAACCTCTCATGTATTGGAAAAAGAGGGATTATCATGCTTATAGACAAAGTGCCTTTGGTGAGTGTCTGCACTAACACTGCAAAATCAATTAAGTTGGATACACATTTTTTAAAGAAATGGATTAATATTCATAGTAAATAAACCAATGGCCAACCTTGAATGGTTCGCTTGAAGAATGCCTTGCAGGCCTCACATGATGCCACTCCATAGTGGTACCCTGACGCGATGTCTCCACACACCAGACAGAGTCTTTTGGGCATTGAATTTAACATGTACTCGCACTTAATTTGTGAATCTTCTCCAATTGTTGAAGAACAGTCCTCGTAGCGCTTTGATACAGGGCCACCAGCAGGTCCCAGGGGTCCTGCGTTGGAGCCGTAGAGGCTGGGCGAATCTAAGCCGTTTGGATGGCCGTTCATGGTGGAGGAATAGGAGCCGGAGGCGTCACTGGAGCCACCAGGAGAGTGGTGGTTCAGGCTGTCGGTGAGAGACGCAGGACTGGAGGGCTCAGTCTTTATATACGAGGACGGACAGTTGGACTCTAAGTGACGCTCCTTACTAGACATTCTGCAGAGGAGCCTGGAAGACATTGGGGGGAAGAAACACAGAAAGCATAAATATGATTAATCAGAGGCAATTTAACATTTCTGTGTAAGCAGATAACTTTACTTTTTGTAACCAACAAAACCCAAAAAATACACTGGTCCAGGAAAGCAACAACATAAATATAAAAACATACAATAATGAAATGCAAAGACGAATAGTGCTCTCCTCGCATTGTGGATGTGTGCCGTGGACAGCTCTAAAGAACCAAAGATATTCTTTGTCCAGCCCAGTGACAAACACACAAACACAGACATGCTTACGATGCTCATCTGTCATTCTCCAGTCAATAGTGGCTTGTTCTACATGAAGGTAATCAGTAAGCAGCCTCTCTGCTGCTCAATCATCCCACAGACACTTTACACACGACACACACCAGCAGGTAAATACAGCACTCAGAACGATACAAATACCACGAAAGAGACAAATGTCGAAACATAACAGCATGGATTTCTCCCTGTCTCTTGACACTCGTCTTTTTCTATTACACTCCCCAAGGAGGCTGACTGGTGACTTGTTAATGGCAGTTGTAATTAACAGTTATCTTCGCTCTGTCCATATCTCTCCACCCCTCCTTTTGTCTCTCTTACTATCTATTTGCCCTGGATCCCTATCACTTCCCATTCATTGCATCTCTCACTCTTTCCACTGTCTGCCTACTCTTTTTCTTCTTCTCCTTTGCATTACCCCATGTCTATCCCTCCACCCAAGCTTTCCTTTTTGCCACTAGTCCCATTGTAAAAGATCGAAAGCACAAAAGGGGTTTTTAATTAAGGCAGGATGCTGCTAAACGAGGGCCTTCTAAAGTCCAGTCAGCCTGTAAAAGATCCCTGTTCTACAGAGGCCCATAAAACTGCAGTGACCTGACGGAGGAGGTGCTACACCCATACCATCCCCTCACACAAATCTCAACTCAAAGAATGGTTCATTTTTATTAAAAATGTTATTAGATGATGTCTAATTTTTATTATTTCAGAATTACAACATCAAAATTGTACATCAAACATGTAATCTACAATCACACACCTACTACCACAACCACACTTACAGTCACACATATTTCCTTCAGAGACTGAATTGGGTGTGGAATTTTTTTCAACCACATTTTGGGGGTCACCCAGATCTCAAAGACAAGCTAATGGTTTAATCAGATTGAAATAAAATAAAATATTGATAAAGACTTGGAGCACACAGTGACCACAGGAGAGCGGAGGCCGCACAGAGAGACTAGTCTCATTTATGTAGATGACGTTCAGGTGATGATTTAATCTGTCCCTTCTCCCTCTTTATTCACTCCCTGCAGGCGCGATCCCTCTGAGTACCATTAAGTGAAAGAGTTCAGCTGCCACCAGATATCACACACTCCCCTCTTCTTTTTTCTCTTCCCACTGGTTCCTCCAGCCGCTCGTATCTGTGCACTGGGTTCTGTGTCCCCTTTTACTCCGCTTATAAATGAAAAATAATGGCAGTCAAAGGGGGAGGAATAGAAAGAAGCAGAATGAACATGTGTGTGCAGAGAGGAGCAGAGCAAAGAAGATTAAGAAATCAGAGCAGTGTGCGGTGCTGAGTGAGAGGTTGAATGCATTTATGTATGTATGTTATCAGTATAATTATGGAGCTATGTAGCGATGGCTCACTGCTGAAGGAGCAGTCTTATTGTGCTTGTCTGCTCCACAGAACAGAGTGCGCAGAAAGCAAGGCACAACCTTTTATTCTATCAATTGTGTTTAAAGTGGTTAAAAAGATTAAATAAAGGAGGGAAATAAAGTGTTTCTTTTTGTATTTTAATAAGAATAAAGGCTGCAGTTGTGAGCATAAAGGGACGATTATAGGAAAACAGTGTAGAATCAGATTGAGAATAAATTAGAACTAGAGAACGGTTTTGCTTCAGCCACTAAAAGAGGGTTATGCCATTATTGGCAAAGAAATTACCTGATTAACATGAACAGTTCATTTTTTATTTTTGCAAATCTCTTAAACCTACAATCTCCTCGCTGTTTGGCAAGTCTGCAACCAGTCGGCACCATAATACTCTCGGCTATACCAGAGGGCCACGGATATGTGTTTTTACTGTTGTCACTGAAATTATGGGAGACGACAGAGAAAATTGAGTGATCACAAAGACAGAAATGATACCGTTTGTGTGCGTTTAAGGAAACACTTTGGTGACAAGCTGTCATTAGGCCAGTGAGCTGATGTAGTCCTTCCACAGACATATAATCATTGCATTAGACCAACTCCTCGCCGTCTCTGAACTGTGTTTTTGTCGCTTTCTTTCTTTTATTACATACAATTCACAGTCCACAGCGATAAACCCCAGCTCAAATAACTCTAAACCATATCCCCCTGAAACAGCCATCATTCCATAAGCTATACTCCCATTTGGTTCACATTGATCCCATTTCAACAGCTTTAAAAATTTTTTCCCATTATTTAAAAGGCTTGTCATGGAATTGGGTTTCATGTTATAAACACATTGCCATCAAATAATGTATGTCTAAGTTTGAAAGGTAAAAGAAACATAGAAATTGTTCAAAAAATATAAAGACAGGAAAATTGTAGGTAAGGAGGAGCAACAAAGAAATGCTGACGATGTAGCTACCAGGGATTGGCTAATACCTTTTCATCACACTGAGCATTGTGCTTCCGATGCTGATAAGAACGCACGGTGCAATAAGCAAAAAAAAAAAAGAGAGAGAGAAGACCTAACGCAGTTCAATCTAGATGATACTAACTGTGCTTCTGTAATGACAAAGAACAGTTTAAAATGCATTGAATTAAATGTAAAGAAAGAATTCAAAAGAAGTCAAATGCATTTATGTCCGTAGTCAAATCGTTTTATTACTGCGCAGAATTGCTTCTATACGGCTGTGTTCATGTTATTTGTAGTGCTTTACTGAAGCGCGAGTAAGCTCAAGACAATTCCTATAATTGGGCAGTATTTTGTTGTTGTGATGTATACTTTTTCCACAACTTTGTGTAGAAAATACTCAAATCTGAAAGAGAGCAGTCAGTGGGTGCGTGTGTATTGTTAAGCCACTCTATAAACTCACAGAGGAGACAAGATTATAGTTGTTTTCAGGGACACAAAAATGAATAAAAAAATCGCAAACTCCTGCAGAGACAGTCTATCTACTGCACTCTCCCACCTACTGGGCTCCTTCCTGCCCTCTGCTTCCACCTCTCTTTGGGTCTCAATCTCTGTCTATCTCCACCTCAGAGCTGCTCACAAATATACATGCGCACGCCAGGGGGAGATCAATTGTTACAGTGTTAGTCGGGCGGGAAACCTGTAATTCACTTCATTGGCTGCGGAATAAACCCCTGATTACATACAATCAATGCGGTAATGGCTAAAACCCATTCTGTCCAATGGGGTGACGGCCCATTGTCGACCACCGACAATAAAAGCCGGCGGAGAAGACAAGTCTGTATATTCTTCAAAGCACAGAGCTCTTAGATAGGAATCCCAAGTCAAAAGCTAAAGTGGCAATCCTCATGTTCTTTATCCAGGCATCAACGCAGAGGTGGAATAAGACATAGAGAGAGGAGGTGTGTGCCCAAAGCTGTTATGACAGGACCAGGGGCTTGTAAAGTTTATGTGTTGTGTAGATGTGGACGGATAACCAGTGGGGGTCCGCAGACTCAGCTGAAGCTACATTATTGATCAAGAATCATTGAGCCAAATCTCGTCTTCGACTAGATTTATTTCCAAACCAGGAACCATTTGTTTATACTTTTACTATAATTAACTTAATTCAGAGCTGTTATATTATTACTTTGTGAAGTCTATACAAAATCCTAAACAGGTATACAGTACAGAAGGAGTGGGAGTGTGCATCAGATGAGAATCTTGATGATTTAGGTCATTTTCTTGTGAACAGTGGCTGATAAGTGTGTAGCTACTAGGCACTATCTTTGTCACCATGTCCTGCTCTCTCTAGGCCTACCTTTCCCTTTGTCTCTCTTTCGGCATCTCTCTTTTCCCTGTCGTCTTTATCTACTGCGTACCATTGTTTTTGCTAGGGCTGTTCCCCTTTCACAGCTGGCCCGTATTGAACAACAACAAATCAGTGTTCCTCCCCCTTTAACCTGAGTGTATGTGGTGGAAACAATAATAATCCAGAATTCCGAAAACATAGAGTGCTGTGGTGAAAAGGATTTCTGGAAGTTTTTATAATTTCAATCACAAGGTCGTATGACTTTGGTTTGAATTTACTTTGACCTTTTATTTAGACATTTTACGCATGGACACTTAAGCACACTCGGTCTTGCAAGTTCCAGGAATATTCTACTTTGATACAAACAGTTCTAGCAAAAGAAAACATCCACATGGGATTAAAAACACATTTTATTAAGCAGATGGTGAAAGAGGATTTCCTCTCAAGTAAATATGACAGGGCTTTTAAATGTGACACAGAAGTGAGTGGAACACGACGAGGGGACGGAAGAGAAAGAGAGCCGAGCCTGGAATGGAAAAGTGTGAGCTGTATAATGCTGTAAGATTTGTGGAGGTGAATGGTAAGAATGTGGGAATAAGAATTGCCAGTGGAGAGAGGGAGCGAGAGAGCTGAGACCGGAGTGAACGGCCATCATCGCTGCATTCTTTAAGCAGATCAGATTTGGGGAAATTGGGCTGTCACTACAGGATTGTGATGATTTACACCTATCCATCACAGATGCACGGGCAGAGGCTGTGCTCCCTCTGTGTACAATAATGCACTTTGCCTTGTTAAAGTCAAGAGACGCTCAACGCATTTCACTTTCAATAGGCTCTCTATTGTAGACGGGCTCAAACGAATGATCGAAAGTAAAACAACAACAACGATTCACTAAATCAGTTGTTTTATTGTAGTTATGGCACGAACCTGTCCAGCGGCTACGAGCGAAAACTAGATTTTTTGCAAAGAAGATGAATTTGTATTGTGCGTCATCCCAAATAAATGAATATATACATTAAATATTACGCTAAAATTATGCACATTTGCAGATAAACCAACACAGGTAAGACCAACATGTAAGTAGTATAATAAGTATTTGGTAAAGCAATGTAAAATATTTTATAGTATAACACTATTCTGCCTTCTTCTGAGCTCCCCCCTCCCACCAGCCCCTGCACTACTGGCCGATGCACCTCATAGCTCCGCTCCTGCACCATCTGTTAGGGAATCTAATTCACATCCACTTATAATCAGGTTTACTGGAGTGGCCACTGTGACTGTCTTTCTGTTGGTCTCTGCTCCTGCGTGGCATTGCTTGGCCTATAATGTATTAAGATTAAGCCGTTAATGTGAGGTTCTGGGAATGATTCTTTGCTCTAGAAACTTTCTCTCAAATCTAATCTGGATTGTAAGATTAAAAAAGTACTAAATAATGAACAATAATGTTGAAATAATAAATATACTATATAGTGCCCTGTAGGCGCCAAAGCAGCAGAATCATGAATCGAGGTCCTGAATCCTGGACACTTTATGTACAGCAACCTGGCTTCCCATGCGTCTCCCTAATTTTTCTTAATATTTTCCTATTTTAAAATGTTGTTTATAGTTTGTGGTAGTTCTATATCGCTTTTAACGTTTCAGGGATCCACCTTTTGACTGTTTCGCATCAAATTTCTGAAAAACTCCGGTGACTATACAGGGTTATTGGACATTAATACCTGACTCAAATCAGACTTTGCAGTGTCTCGTCTGTGCATTGTGTAAACTATAGAGGATGTTAAGAGGCAAATTCTTGGTCCAAAACACATTCTCCATGACTAGTCAGCGTACATGTCTTTGAATATGTTTTGCTTGAACCTCGCTGTGTATTTGAGCAGGAGTTGGGGGCGAAGGGGTGGAAGTTAATGAGAGGTGAGTGTGTGAAGCCATCTCTCTCTCTCCTCCTCGCTCCTCTGTCTCTCTGAGCGAGGGCAGTAATCCTCTTCTATAAATCTGCAATCCAATCAGCGTTGTCCACACTTCCACACACACAGACACACAGCTGTTGTGAGGCCCATCTGTGTGTTAAGGCAATCTGCTTTATCATTATGATTACATTGAGCTCAGTTTACAGCGACGCCAGGGAGAGTGTGTGCGGACCCTGACTGGCTGACATTAATCACATTCCCATGGTTTGATGGCCTAAATAAAAGGAGGAATAATATTGTCGCTGTCCAATAAAAAACTGTAGGCGTCCAAAAACAGATTAAAACATTTCTACAAAATCAGATGTTTTTATTTTGTATAATATGTGTATGTATTTAAACAGCTTTATGATATTCTATCTAAAATATTTGGTAATATGCTGAGAAACTTCAATACATGTTAAACACTGCTCTGTAGGTGTATTAGAAAGCGTTCTATATATCCAATTAAATGCTAGAAAAAGAAAAAAAAAAACATTATTCAAACGTAAACTCATAATAAGAGCTTAGAATTGAAAGCGTGTGAGACCTACCTAACATTTAACTTAAGATTAACGTATGCTTTCCTTGGACTCTATTTTTTTAGACTCTTGACTGTTCGTACCCGTTGTGTTATTGTTTGTCTATTATCAAATATGTTGTCTAACTGGTTGTGTTTCTTCTTATGAATGCAATTCCACTATCGTGCTAATTCCAGCATTTATGTCTCGATTCAAATAAACTGAAAACATTGTATTTATAATCATTTTCCACGTGAAAGGTTTACTTATACAATTTTGCCATTGTTCCGTTATTCTGAGTTTGCCGTGTGGGACCCGAATGTGGCAGCTGTGATGTGAACTTGCGCTGAGGCTGAGCGGCCCATGGCGTGACAGTCGAGCCCCTGGCAAACCTCCGCGACTCTCGTCACCTCACCTCTGCGCCCGCCAGACTCCCTGTACAACACTGTCCTGTGATTGGCTGGAAATCTGTGGGAGAATCACTTGCCAGACCTCTAATAGGCTTGACCCTGACTAACCCTGGAATCCTATTGGACTGAAGCGGCGCCCTGTACAGTGAACATTGACACACCCACTCAAACACCTACGCACCTAAAATGATCAGGCTATGTATTTGACTAACAACACACTAATCAATACACTGCATCGTGGTCTAACGGGGTATGCAACATTTCCGCGCTATTTTCTGGGAACGTATTCTATTGTTATGGGGCTGTTTGCATAACGAGCTACATTACATACAAAACCCATACATACTGTAGCTGTTGCTCTGAATTCATGCCATATGTCGATCTTTAGGAAATGATTGAAGAAAAGCCTCAACAGTGTCTGAACAAAGACTGATGTGTGATGTTTAAACATAAAACGCATTGTGGATTTACATAATATTGTTTTAAATGAACGGCCACGGGATGCTATAAATACATGTATTTGATGCTTGGTTATGGGACTACTGCAGATGGCACAGGAATGTAGCAGTAAGTAACTTAACCAATCTCAGGTAAATCAGATCCAGTGAATAAAAAGTGTATTTCAGTAGAATACACGGTTTCTGAACAGCATGGTAAATACTGTATCAGTGAGAAAATTAAAAACCCAGCTTTGCACATATTTATGATTCGATTAAATTAGAATTAAATTGTGACAAATAATGTTTACTCTCTTTGCTAATTGATAAAAACCCAGCGTCCCAAACTCTCAGCTGGCTTTCACAGTTTTATTACTCTACTTGATGTCATAGAGTGCAGGCCTTTTCCTCTTTTGTCTGAGGTTTATGGAGGTCAAATGTGGCTTTTGTGGAAACCTGAACTCAACTCTCTGACACTCTTCAGGTAGATTTTTCACATGGTCGTCTGAGTGCCTCTTGTGCGTGTCTCCTGAATAAGTGTGTGTGTGTGTGTGTGTGTGCGTGTGTGTGTGTTGTGTTTAGACCTTACCTGGGATTGTAGAGGGCATGTGCGTCTCTCATGTGGTTGGCCTCCAGCGGATCGTAGCTCTGGTGCATCCTCCAGGCACCGGCGCCGCATTTACTAAAAGTGGACTTGGAGTTATCTTCACTGCTGCTGTTCACCAAGGGTCCCTTCGATAAGTTCATTCTGGAGCAGGGGCAGAATAACAAAAAAAAAACATGAAACATCGGAGAGAAACAGAAAGTGCACAAGAAAGTACGATTTTAGATGAATGCGGTGAACACGACGGGACAGGACAGAAAGCTCACATTTACATGCACCAGACTGTAGCAGCGTGTCCATTACCTATTTCTTATTTATTTTTTCCCAAATCCCCATCAAGAGGACGACTTTGAAGTACGTTAGAGAAACTGGATGTGTGTATCTTTTTAAACGGGTCTATGGCCTCTTTGGACTGGCAGAATCTAACAGTAAAAGCACAAGAGGAGGGACCCACTACTTGTCAGTCAAGCTCAGCACCAATGTCAGGGGAGAGGCTGCAGCTGGGGTGATAAGGTCAACATGGGTTATGGACTTGAAATCAGTGTTTTCACAAATCTTGTAAATAAAACTGCATTAAAACAAAAATATGATTATATATTAATGGAGATTTTTTGATCACAAGTTAGTAAATATATGTGCAATATGCAATAAATGTGCTTGCTGTAGGTGGCATTAGATTTGTATTGCGTTCATTTGCATTTACATACTGTATTTCAAACATCTAAACTATAAACAAATACATCTACACATAACTTTCCGGTGTGCTGACGATGGTGACGGGGTGTGTGTTTGACAGGCAGCCAAACGGACGAATTAGCTTTTCCATCCACCTTTTCATGTGCCTTCCTGCCTGCTCACAGAGTTAGTCTGTCCTGAGAGGTGGAGGCCCGCCTGTGTAAGATGTAGGTTTTAGTTCCACTCTGGTGAATAGGAGGAATCAATATCCCGCTCGCTGCTGCTGCTCCAGACACTTATTGGCTTTGGTTGCGGTATCACAATGCTATATAGACAGACAACACTTAATACTGCCGTTTTATTGGGAGTTGCCTATAGGATTGCACCAGTCCGAGGTACAACACCAAAAGTTCAATTTGATGAGGTGTATATCCAATCGCGACCACGCCTCTCGGACATTTTACCCACTCTACGCACATTGGATTTGCTGTGTACGGGAAGAGAAGAGGCGAAAAGGTTGTGGGTGTCTGGATGTGATGCTCAGTGATTCGCTCATGTGTTGCTGGCCCATCTGTGAACGGAATGACCACGGACCTGGACTGGCATGTGTGTGTGTGTGTGTGTGTGTGTGTGTGTGTGTGTATGTGTGTGTGTATGTATGTGTGGATGCAGTGATTGATGAGACACTTGCCATTCTTGTTAATGCAAAAATGCACCTTTTCCTTTAGGGAGCAAATGCCACAACATATTGTAACCAGACACACACACACAAACACAGACACACACACCCACACATACGCACGCACACACACACACATCAGTGATCCTGGTCTACCTAATTACCCCTATAGTCAGGCCAGAGCATAGCAAGTAAGGCGTGAATGCATGGATTGGTTTGTATTGGATAAGGAAACAACATTGAAAAACATGTTCAATCCAATGACCTTATTATTTCAAGTCACTGTAGTGAAAACAAGGAACCAATAGGTGCATTTATGTAACCGGAATTACACCCACAATTATTTTAATGTACAGTACCATGAACAAATCTCCTGAGAAAATGTAATTTCATTTTGCTTAATACATCGTTTCCATCTGTCTAAACTTGGTAAGTATTGGTCGTTATGGCAATGATATCGATAACGACCACACAATGGACGCACAGTACACACACATTCATACAAAAAAGTTTTCAAAACAAATTCAAACGATATGAAATAATGCTAATACGAACACACACACATTACACATGGGGACAGGTGGGATTCGATGCAGCATTCCGTCACCTACGTGGTTGCGAGAAAGTGGATGTGTGCGCATGTTAGCGTTAGCGACGGGAGCTGTTAGCGGGGCAGGCGGCAGATGGGCTGTCGGCCTTAATAGGGACTGAGCGGGAGCAGAAAGGTGACAGCTCCATAAGGGAGGGGCTCACGGGGATGGAGAGAATGTGTGTGTGAGGGCTGGGCTCCGGGGTAAGAGGGGGTGAAAGATAAAAGCAAAAGGAATTATGTGCGGAGGTGAAGAAAAATGCGGATCATGAGCGTGGCACCATGCATCTATGGAAAGAAGGGGTGTGAAATTTGTCCATACATGCATCTCTGTGTATGATGACCATGATAAAGTGGATAATCTCCTTAAATTCTAATGCAAATATACTATGAAAGATGGGGTCCTCTTCAACTCAAGAAACAAAAGGCTAATTGAGTTAATCGCTGCATGTTTGTAATTCAGAATTCTTTGCCGTATGCAGTATATCGCTCAATTATGTAAATAATAAGTCGATTGTAATTGCCACTGATTGTCATCAAGAGTATGTTTTGACCAGCTATAGAAATAAGAAATACCAGATTGAAGAATTACCAAATCTTTCTCAAAGAATTCAAATCTGAAGCCTGTTTCCTTCGCATATGCAGAAAATAGATAAAGACATCATTTTCATCCACAATCTCTCCATCTCATTCATTTTCATAACTTTAGGAGCTTAAGAATCTTTACACGCTGCTAAATTGTACAGATATAAAGCCTCAACATGCAGAACTTTTCCCTAAAGTTTTGACAATTTTCAAAAGCACAAATACTTTTGACTGCGGCCCTTTCCACACCGTCCTTTCTGTCTTTAACTCATCCCCGCACACTGCACCTCTTCTTCTAAATCTGCTCCATTGTGGCCCGGTCTGCGCTGTCTCCTCCAATTAGGAGTGAGAGGCTGCATTAGCCCTGAGCATGACATGATGCACACACAAACACACATGCGCGCACATACATGGGACATCCCGGTCTGAAGCAGTTCAATACTTGACAGGCAGAACAATTGTGCTGCTTGTGCATAAAGCACCACAACGACAAATTCAATGGCAATAATGTATCAGAAGTTTAAAGGTCGGTTTCTCTCCCTTTAAACAAACTCAGCTTTAGATGGTTGGCGTAAAAGAGACAGGTGGATGGTTAAATGCATGTGGGTGGAACAAGAGCTGAGGAAAGAATAAAATAAGTCTTTTATAAGATCACGATGCGTCCTTTAAATCAGTTCTTTTGTACTTCAGTCCAGCCTTATAGATATAGACTATAAGGTGTGTGTTGCATATTTTGTGCCAGCTGGTGGAGATTTCCTCATAGCTTCACCCCAACATTGAGGGTGATTGACCTATGACTCCCCCAAACACACCCTGAATGCACCGAATCGAGCGTAAATCAAATTGTGTGCAGCTTTTTCCTTGCTCTGATCTTGCGTATTTCACACAAATGCAAAGTGTGTGTAATTGCATTTTCCATACTTTTTTTATTCTGACCTGCAAATGAACACTGTGCTTTTACAGTGACTGCGCCGGGGCCATTCATGCGTATATGCATTTGTCCAGCGGACCCCTGAGTGCTGGTGTCAGACAAAAGCGCACCCCCTCTATACCCCCCACCCCCCTCTTTCTCACTACCCCTCGCTCCCTCTGTCCTCACAAGACCGTTCCACCGCTGGAATCATCGCAGTCTTCATAGGCCAAAGCAAAAAAGAAAAAGTGTGTGTGTGTGTATGTGTGTGTGTTCTTATCAGCTGACAGACTGACAGATAGACCTTATTGGGACGGCCCGACAAAGAACAACACCTTCTCATACGGGCCACCAGCAGGTCACTCTGCGCACACAGGGGGGGCAGAGCATGACAACAGACAGATGCAAATGCACACGCGCACAGCCAGGCAACAAATCAGCGCGCCACATATTGACATGCTTTGACAGATGAATTAAGTAAATGATTTTATAAGGAGATTAAAAGGATTTTAATTTACGCAATCTCTCTTTGGTCCCCCTGTCCCTCCCTCCGCTCTGCTCTCAACCCTCTCCCTCTCCTTTCTGGCGCTCCAGCACAGCCTTGTCCCGCCGAGTCTGAGAGATCAGCGCTTAAGAAACATTGGAAATAATAGTAAATTCAGTAAATTCAATGAAGGCTTTAAAAATGTTTTTTTCTTTCTTGTCCGAACACAACTTTGAAAAGTTATGTCTAATATTTAATATAAAATGCAGTTGTCTTGAGAGTGTTGAGAGAAACATGTAAAAAATAAATGTATATATTTGAAAAGGGTAACACATTTTGCACCAGAATGTGGAGACAATTTTGTAACTTTTTGTTTTAAAAAAAACAAGTAAAAAAAAGAAAATGAATGAAATGAAAAACTTGTTCTCCTTTAGATTTAGAAAGGACATACATGACAATAGCTGAAATAAAATGAACAAATAGAGGAAGTGTGTCCTAATGTTGTTCCACAGATCAGTTGTGTGATCGTCAGAAAGGCCACAGTGCGACGCCCCGGCCGCTTTCATTTCTAAGACCAAAAAGACTCTGAAATTACAATCGTGGAATATACTAATGAAATGCAAATGTTATGTATTTTGTGGCATGAGGTGAATGCAATTATGTGAACTGCCTAAGTGCTGGTTGTTGTGATAATTATCAGTACGATCGTACTAATACCCTAATATTTTAATTAGTGTGAGGTGGAGAGCGAAACAAGGAGTCTGAGCGGCGTTAAACAGAACACATATCCACATTTATAAAATGATTATTATTCAGTAATAGAGGAAGACAATTAAAAGTGGCTTTCACTTACATGAAACCACATCGTTAAACATTTGAGAAACTGGAAATGTAGTTTAAATTAAGACCGTTAATAAAGTAACTATTTCACACTTTGTGTTTTACTGAAAAAAGTTGCGTACACTATAAATAAGATATTGAAATAATACGAAAAATTTAAACAATAAGAAAGAAACAAAATATAAACGAGTAAAATAAGGAAAGCAAAATACCATTTAAATAAGTATTTGTATAAAAAAAAATTTCTAAACACTGATTGAGTTTTTAAATTAGGATAGAAGGATAATTCTGAAATAGGTTGTATAAAATGTATTTTGGTGCAAAACTGAAGTTGTGGTCCATTTAACCTTCAGAAAATTTCTGCTGAGCGCGTGGAGACATAAGGAACCCCTCGATTCTCAGACGCCTTAACAGAAATAATAAAGCTGTTTCAAATCTAGGCTTTGGGCTTTTGGTTTCATCACATTGGCCGTAATCCAAAAGATGAACATTTCCACAGCAGCACTGAGATGTTCACAACACAAAACATTTCCCCATAAAATACACATTCTGCCAGAGAAAATTTAGTGAAATCGAAATGCAATAAATTAGAGATATAAAAAGAAGGATGGTTACTAAAACTGTGGAAGCGGATCCTGAGCTCACACCTGAGCATGAACTTGGAATGAACCTCTCATAAGCTGTACAAAAGCAGGAGCAGGACTTGTTTTTTTACTTATCTAATTGTCCAGGATAAAAAGCAGCATGAGTCCACACGGGTCCGTCAGCGTGTGATGGGGAGCTAAAAGAGCAAAGCCCTGTCCAAAGGAGCACTCAGTGCCACTTGTCTGTCTGAGTGTGTGTCAGTGTGGCTCTAATGCCGCGCAGGCCACACGCTGAGGTGGCCGTCTGAAATTCAACCTCCTCTGGCATTTCCCTGTGCAGTGGCCCCTGTCTGTTCACAGCTTTGTGGTGGGACCCTCTTTCTTTAACTCTGCTGTCCTGTCCAGGTGGACACATCCTCTGCTGCATACTGACTCAGGTCTGCCAGCAGAAGCACAGTTTAAAATAGGCTATGAAAGAATGTACAAAAAACAGAGGATAAAGTTTAAGAAAGTCTTGTCCTGTCCTGTGCACAGGTGCCTGAGTGTAAATCTGAGCCATGTGGAGGACAGCGCTGCTGGGACAATATTGTCAGAGCACTGCAGTCAAACACAACAGACAGTGGACGCGTGCCACTGACAGGAACAACCTTGACACAGAGCTGGACACTTCGCTGCATACCAGCACATCAACACAAACACCACAGAGGACAGGATGCACATGGAAGTAGAGGGATGTGGAGAGGGAAGAGTAAACGGTAAAATTTACCTACTCTTGTTCAGAGTGCATTAAAAAACACTCGGATAACGGATGTCCTACCGAATCCATCGGCGAAACCTGATCATTGTCATGTCAACCTCCACCAAAAAGAGAAAAGAGCAAAACGTGATAAAAGTAAACTTTGGCTGTGCCTCCTCTCTCCTCTTCTTTCTCTGGAGTCTTTGAGTCCTTCCTTCCGCTTGGACAGAGCAACACAATTAGCAGGCTGTGCGCAGGCTACACTGGCTGTGCCCCGACTGTCACTGTGGAGATGTGAATGTGAGTGCCGGTTTGAGGGCTATAGGTGCACGCACAGGCAGCCACTCAGCCAGTTGGGACGGAAAGCTGTGCGGCTGTCCTAATCAACGACTTAAAGCCCCGATAGCAGCTCATGAATATTAAGCAGGCTTTTGCATATGCAGTCCCTCAGGTCCGGATGGTGCTCTGGTTGGTGGATACTGGACCAATTGCTGTTAGTAGGGGTGGAGTCAAGGGTGGAGCAAAGCAGAGAGAGGGAGAGAGAGAGGCAGAGGAGCAGGTGGAGAGGGAGGGATCAGACAAAGAGCGGATGCACCAGGAGGAGGAGAGAGCACAGGTGAGGGATGCATTTAAACTAAAGCTTTCTCCTGATTCTTTGTTACTGGATGGATTCTTGTGCAACCATGTCACTCAAAGTCACTTTCTTTTACTTGTTTTGTCAATAAAAAAACCCAAAAGCATTTTAAAAACAGTTAATGTTTTATCTAATTTAATATGACTCAATTTTTCCTCAAACTGCCTGAAGAATAACAGGTGCAAACTTGACCCTCACGCAGACCCTAATCACAACTAAAACACAGCAGAGATTCTGCCCCCTGACGCTCAGCAGTAAAAGACCGGATTATGACAATTCCAGGCCCCTTGCCCTTTGTTGGGAATGATTTGGGAATGATTGGGACAAGATTTTCCAAATAGCCTGCTGCTTTGTGAAAGGATGCTCCAGCATTTAGGCTGTAGTATTTCAGCAACTGTATGCCATTGTCTCAAAGCTTTAGACACAACTCTTGGACGTAAACAACTGACTTACACACACACAAAAACTGAGGTGAGATCTGAATCTTATGTCTTGTGTCAAAAAAGTGATCTTTGTAAATGATTAAAAATATATATTTTGATATATATTTGATATATATATATATATATATATATATATATATATATATATATACATACACACACACAGATGCCAAATGTGACAAACAATATGCATATTGTTTGTTTACATATTTCACATGTAAACACAACACAGAACGTGCACCAGTTATGATGTATCCAGGGGCTTATGCGCATCGACAAAGATGAGTGTGAATCAATGGTGCCGTCACTACCGACCAAACAAATCTTTTACCAAACCCCCCTTTCTTCTGCACACATAGTTGTCATATACAAACACTCAAGCAACGCAATCCAGGAATAGGTATTGGCACAATTTAAATAATAACTTCTTTATGATGATATAATTAAGTATTTTGAGATGATCATTTCAAGCTTGCATAATGCAACAATAGATTGAGTTGCTTCTTGCTTTCTCCACCCTGCTTGTTATTAATTGGTTGGTCTGCATGTGGGTAAGTTGACAGTGACCCCTTTAGACCACTAAAAACACTGCTCTATCCAAATGACCCACTACAAATGAGCCTTGTTCTTGATTTGAAGCCTCTCTCCACATTTTTCTCATGAACAGTATCAGGTGTCTATGTGTGCTGCCCAGGTGACCCACAGCTCAGTTTTTGTGTGTGCATCTGACCCTTGTTGACACCAGTGGAAGAATTACCCGCTGCAACTCTTACTGGCATCAATCACACCACTCAATAGTGTGCAGCGGGTTCATTCAGGGCACAGTGTCTGGGCCGCGTGTGTACACTGGTCAAATATATCCTTAACAAATTCCAAAGGTTGGTCACTTAAGCTGTTGACCCTGTGGCTTCCCATTGATATATGTGTGTCTGTCATATTTACAGCCACGAACTATAGGTGATTGTGTGAGTTTTATGAAGATGGAATGAAGTGTGATGTTGTGCCTGGTCCAGTGAGAAAATCTATACAAAGTGGGAAAAAAATAAACATGTATATAGAGCTAAAAAAAGAGAGAAAAAAAATCACTGTAAACACAAATCAGAAAAGGGAGATTATGCACGAGTGCACTTCATGCGTAGCCAACAGAGGGTGCTATGGGCACTGGTCACTTCTCTGTCACATCCTCACAGAACAACTGATATGTACTTTTCAATCATGTACAAAAGGAAAAGGGAATAAAGCTAGAAGCAGAAAGCAGCTCTGAAGTCAGTGTGCACTGCAGAGATATAGGTGTATGTTATCGGAGAGCTTCGTCAGCAGAGGGCTACAGCGCCCAACTGAGGCGCTGCACACTGCACCAGGGAACTTCACAGGAGGCAAAGGAATCTCAAACTCAAAAAAACAGAAAGGTGAGTGAAGAGAAGAGCAGCAGCAGCTATTAATGACTATAATATAATACAACTATATAATGCAAATAGTTTGTTCTTCGCTGAAAACTTCAGTTGCATTCAGACTTATGCAATTTTATAATTTAGTCAATTTGTATTCCATTGTATTCAATGTATTATCATTTATCACTTAAGTAGTTGCTGAATTATAAGAAAACTGAGATTGGATATACAATGCAAATGTAAAGTTATTATTTCTGAAGAGCAAATATGTATGAATAAAAAACACAAAGGTACATTTAAAATGATACCCATCAACTATTTATTTTATTCAGTTTCAAAATGTTGTGAAATAAAGTACAAAGTTTTAAGAATCTTTGACAGACGTGCACAAGGTTTTTTTTCTTTCCTCGAATAAACAAGACTTTTAGGTTATTTCCATGACGCCTACGCAGGAGTTGTATGCAGGTTATTGTAACAACTGGCGCTGAACAAATAGAGATTATTCTTCACTTTGGTTGAAGATTTTAGAAGTGACTTATTTCAAGAGTTAATGTTTCTGCGTAGTGTAGATGTCTCCCGGATGGTTTAGGGAGAGCGGGCCAAGGAGAGGAGAGCAGCTGTTAAGAAAAGATGCTAGCTGTAAGGGACTTCTGCTGCCTGTCACCAACTCTTCTACGGCGACCTTTGGATTGGGAAGGCCACCGTATTCAATAAAACAACTTATAATTATCCTCCTCAATAGTACTTCATGATACCAATAATCAGATGCATGTACTGTATATATTTCCAGATGTGTACATGACAACTATAAGTAAGTATGTCATTATTTATTCATACAGCGCATTTCACAGACCAAGGTCACACAAAGCCCTTTACAATATGGTGTACAGTGGTCCCTCGTTTATCTCTGAGATTACGTTCTAAATAAATAACCCGCAATAATCGGAAACTGCTGTGAAACCCTCCTCACCATTCACTTCATACACTTCTCTAAGCACCTGAACTCACGACTGTTGAAATTTGATGTTCGCTGTATGTCTGAGCGCTGCTGCAGCTGTCAAAAGCCGTGCATACACAGTCAAATACAGCTGACTGAGGGCTTGGGTTAGGTAAGATCGCTCTGGACTAATAACAGCGGTGCAAACAGGTCAGTCAACTTCAAATAACGTAACTGTTGTTTTAAACTAGCGGTTATATAATCTATGTATAATGAAAAAATATAAAACACTGTAAAAAAAAAGGACGCATAACACAGAGGGCGCGTTATGGTGAGTAATATTTATATTCATGGCAAGGACAGAAGTGTACTGCTTTCTAACCATCACCACCCAGTCCTATTGTAAATGTTTTTATTGGTACAGGAAGCCACGGAGACTAGGAGAACATGCAAACCCCAGACAGCTATTTCTGGCCGTGGGATCAAACTCTGTGTTGCCCTTTGGCCTCTATCCATAAAGAGCATAGTATGGATTGAATAAGAAAAAGTGTTTTAACATAGTTTTTTTTTACTATACTATTTTCATCCTAAGCACTCTGTAGCATAAGTGAGAAGAACCACTTATGAAACACACAGCGCTCTTGGTCACAGTGGACAAGGGCCATCTCGGGTCACACTGGGTTGGACCAAGACTTAACCCCGTCAGACAACACAGACCTCACAGCTGACAGTGTTGACATTCTCTCTGCACGCAAACACAATCCTACAGCTCGCCATGCCACATGCAATTCACTGCAACTGGTCGGGGGCATAGGCATGAGCCAAGCACCAGGGAAATAATTACTGAAAAACCAACTTATGCACTGATCAATAATGATAAAACCACATAGACAGACTGACACATGTAACGATAAAGGTGCTCTTTATTTATCCCTGTAGGGCTCATCCTCTGCATTTGACCCATCTTGATGCCACTAGGGCCTCTTTATATATGAGATACTTCCTGAGTTTAACAAATATGAATTTAGATCCACAACAGAATTGATATAAGGTGATATAATTCAAGAATATTCTGACGTCAATGCATCAAGTATTGTAGTGATGTCATAGTACTAAGATTTTGAACTCAATGTTGATACCAATGAATAAGGGCGCTCTAAATAAAAAAAAAAAGATACAATGTAGATATGCAATATTGATTTTTATTTAGTAATATAATCTTTTTAAAATTTGTTTTAATTTCTTCGGGAAAAAAAAACATTACTATAAATATGTATACATTTAGTTTTGATCATTTGATTTTCAATTACAATTCCTCTTCAATAAATGAAATAGAAATGCATCAAAAGCATTGCATTTTTGTTCAAATGTGGAGGAGCGTTTGGTGAGGGATAAAAAGTGTTGTTGTAGCGTTTGGAAATATATTAATGAAAAAGGTTCAAACGTTCAAAAGGAAGACAAACAAACCGGCTCATATTGTTGAGAAATATGGTTCAAAATGGTTTAAAAATGCTCAGAAAATATAACATTTGCTCCTGTTTTTGTCAAAATACTTTAGTATCACTTCTCGCTCAACTGCTCGACTGACATGTGATCGTAAAAGTAGAGTTTGAAACCACACACTGAAGAATGATCGAGGAAACTCAAGTGTCAGAAAAGCGAAAACCAACAGCAGCAACAGAAAA